GGAATGAACCTGTTAGAAGTCTTGATCCAAACTACATACACTATTATATTTGTAATGTATTCTATTAATTATGGAAATTAATTTCATTTCAATAGTGGAATTTACATGACAACAGCTTCTGGAGCTCAGTGGAGCATCTGACTAACATGTCACAGAATTTCCCCTTGTGTGGGTGTGTTGACAGGGTTCTGTTGACATCAAATTTGCAATGAAAATGTCTCATAAATGTGCATTCACATAGAATTTTGCTTACAAGAGATCATCTCAATATGCATATAGGTCATTAATATTAGAGAAGGCAATTTCATCATTCTTGCATTACTAAGATAAATTATGAGAAATATGTAACCATACTCATATATATACACATTGCCTAAAGATAGGTCTTCAGATTTAGCAAAGATGTCTGGATCTAGAGCTGTCACCTTTGCGATGTCTCCTATAATTGTGTAAAGCTTTTTTACTACAAGTATTATATAAATGTTGGATGGTGACTTCAAATCAAGCAAGAGAATGGACTAGTCCAGAGGGGTTTTTAGAGGGAGTAAATAACAAGATAAAATAGAACCAGGGGAAAATTAGTCTGAATATCACAGCAAAGTTCCTAATAGGGAGAACCATTAGACTGTGAAATAGTCTTTCAAAGGCACTGGAAGAAGCCATTACATGAACCATTTAAAATCAGACTGGGCTGAAGTACTCCAAAATACAGTAAGCTATGGGGACCAATCCTATATTAGAAGTGAAAACGGGAGGATGGCCTAAACGTTTCTACCATCTTGATGATTGCTATGATTGTACTGATTTTGTGTGTTCAATCTAGATGGATAATATTCTATCATTTTATGTTATTTCTTAAGAGAAATTTCAACAAATTCACTTAGTGCAATTTGGTGCATTTAGTAGAATCTCAAATAGGCTAAAATGAATATTAAACTCAATATGAAATAGCAAAAACAAAAACACCTTTTTTTTTTCTTTTTTCCTGGGAGTTACCCCTAGAGAAAACAAGTCTCACCCTGGGAATCTGGCTGCATTCCAACGTGCATAAATGCATGCCGTCTTGGGTTTTCAATGGAGATTAAGTATTAATTTCATTGCTTTTGTTTAATAGTTTCTTGGGATGATGTTGAGAAATAAACATAAAATAACAGAAACATTTCATCTCCAAGTCAATGGACTACATTTTAGCAATAAGTGATGAGGACCCTAGAAAAAGATCATGCATCATTTTGTAACTATTGTTGTTGTTGTTAAGTGCTGTCATGTCAGTTTTAGCTCATGACAACTCTGTATAGGGTTTCCAAGGAGGGGCTGGTAATTTAAACTGCCTACCTTGTAGTTCAAACCAACCTTGCGGTCAGGTGCTTAACCTACAGGGCTGCAAGAGGACAGGGATTAAAAAAAAAAAAAAAAAAAGTTAGACATGAAATAAGGAAGAGCTATTTCTCTCTTAAGGGTGTTTTCATCCTTCAGGTACCCAGGGAAGTTGTAAAACTCTTATTACTGAGAATATTGCAAAATGAGACCATCCTCAATTTTGTGCAGTTACCACAAAAATAGATAGCTTTTTATAATACTTATCCCAGTTCTTTTAATAAAAATATGAATTTAAATTTAAATAAAAAATAAAGATCACATAATTTATGATATATTTCCATATGTTCCACTTACCAATTTTAATTGCAGTGGCATAAAATCAGAAGTGGAATCATTAGTTTGATGTTTTATAATTGTGAGGTAGATAATTGATTTACAAAAATTTATTTTCATGTATAAATCACAACTTTTAGTAAAGATCGTCATACACATTTGAGTGAGATCATAAAACATATTTTCATTAATTCTAATATTTTCTGTTTATGAAACTGTCCACACATTTTTTTCAGCTTATTGATTATATGTTCTTGAAGTGTGAAAAATACCCTTTAATTTAAAGAGAAGCATTCCTGTACCTCAAGCCCTAAGATCTAAGCAATTCCTGTATGGCATAATTTTCTATGGGTTGGTTTCGCATTTCATTGGCAAGGGTCTATCCGATAAAACCTATGTGTTTTATTTAAGTGACGTGGGTCTTATCAATTTCAAAAGATATTTTTTAAAATACAACCTTCTTTTATTCCAACTAATAAGGAGCTCTGGTAGCGCAGTGGTTATGAATCGGGCTGTGAACCGCAAGGTCAGCAGTTCAAAACTACCAGCTGTTCCACCGGTGAAAGATGAGGCTTTCTGCTCCTGTAAAGATTTACAGCCTCGGAAACCCTGTACCGGGTCGCTATGAGTTGGAACCGACTCCACGGCACATAACAACAACAACAATATAGGTATGGAGTCCTGGTGTGGCACTATAGGATAAACACTTGACTGCTAACCACAAAGCTGGCAGTACAAACCCACCAGCTATTCCTCAGAAACCCTATACAGGGTTATTATGAGTCAGAACAAACTCAACTGCACTTAACAATAACAAAAAAATTTAGGTATGTAGTACTGGTGCTGTAGAATGAGAACTGGACTTCTAACCACAAAGGTCAGTGGTTTGAGCCCACTAGCTACTTTGCAGGAGAAAGATGAGGCTTTCTGCTCCCGCAGAAACCCTATACAGGATTGATATAAGTCAGAACAGACTCAATAGTATCTAACCTAACATTGCAGGTAGTCTGAAATTTTCATGGTTTTACTTTTTGAAAGCATAAGTTTCAAGATTTCATCTTCTCATTTTCCATCCTGAGTATCTGTGTTACTCTGGCAATAAATCAAGATAGCCATAGGACATGTCTTTTCAAAGTATCTCTGTATGCATTCTGGGTGAAAAGAAACCTAAGGATTGTTGTTGTTAAGTGCTGTTGAGTTGATTCCAACCCATAGCAACCTTATATAGGGTTTCCAAGGAGCAGCTGGTGAGCTTGAACCACCGACCTTGCAGTTCAAAGGATTTGCAGTCTGACATATTAGCCCACAGCACCACACCTGGATTCACACCTAAGGATAGGCAGCTACAAATTACAGGTGAGAGACACCTTTGCCATTTTTGCTATGAATGGGAAAATACAACTCTGGTGAGGTTGATGTACAAGAACTTTCAAATGTATTCAGATTTTATTGGACTGTCTTCAGGAAAAAAGGTTAGCACTCCAGAATCATTGACTAACAATTAAGTGTCCAGACAACTTTGGTAGGAATGGTGTACTCTAGAAGTTTAGTGTGATGGTGATCCCGATGTTTTAGTCACATACACTAGTATATATTAAATATACAAATATTTATGCAAATAATTCGAGTTCAGGTAGCAGGCTTAAAATATGTGATCAGGCAAAACTAAGTTAATTTAGACTTAGGTAAATGAATAATGGTGTTCTCAAAATGGATGCTTATTATTTTTTTCCAATGAAACACAGTATAGCTCTACTGAACAGTTCTAAAGGCAGGTGACACAAAGAAACATGGATCCAAGCAAAGAAACTCAAATTGATGAACTATTGTTGAGGTCCTTAACATATACATATCCCTAATATATGTATTATATACATACACACATCACACATACTGGTATATTAAAAGATGAGATTAATATGAGTTAAGGACCTCAACAACAGTTCATCAATTTGAGTTTCTTTACTTGAATCCATGTTTCTTTGTGTCACCTGCCTTTAGAACTGTTCAGTAGAGCTATACTGTGTTTCTTCGGGAGGGGGATATATATATAGAGAGAGAGAGAGCTCTGGTAGCGTAGTGGTTACGAATAGGGTTGCGAACCTTAAGGTCAGTGGTTCGAAACTACCAGCGGCTCCGCGGGAGAAAGATGAGGCTTTCTACTTCCCGTAAAGATTTACATCCTCGGAAACCCTGTACAGGGTCGCTATGGGTCGGAACCGACTCGACGGCACTTAACAACAACAACAACAACATATATATATATATATATATATATATGATAAATAATCAACCATAAGGTCAGTTTGAATTTGCAAGGTTGGCGGTTCAAACTCACCAACCACTCCTCAGAAACCCTATACAGAATCGACTTAACAGCACTTAAACAACAAAAACAACAACATATCTATAATTTTTAAGCTACTAGTAGAAATATTTTATGAAGAAGTTACCTGAGCACTTGAACATGGATCTTTAGAAGTGTTCAGTTTTGTTATGTTCAAAATGTAGTGTTTTAAAATACTTAAAAAAGAGCAAAGAGAACCTTTCTCCCCAAGAAATCTACCTAAAAGTGTTATCTTTAAGGAATCTTCTATGTTCCTTCTAGGATTAGAAGGAAATGAGATGAAATCCTTAGAAACAAGCTTACTGGATACATTATCTAGTCTATTTCTGGATCACAATCTCCCACCCTCTGTGAGTTATCTCATTGTCAGATAAGAAAATGGAACAGGGTCGATGAAGAGATAGGCGCTTAGGCTAGCTTTTCGTTTTTGCCCTCAAGTCAAAAGGAGCAAAAGGCAAGGAGAGGGCTTTCTTCCATGCATAATTGTGGGAGGTCTGCCTCTGTCTGCAGAGTTTATCCCGGTTACACCACCAACCTGGTCCCGCTGACCGCTGCCCACCTCGTCTGGCAACCTCCACACCCACATGAAACCATGTGTGTCAGCACCGTTTCTCGTGCACAAAGCCCAAGAAGCCCCAGAATAGAAACGAATCCCGAGCCTCGAGCGGAGCTGGAGGCGGTTGGATGATGAGAAGGGTCTCTCTGGGGGTCTGCGGGCGGTAGTTAGTCGCTCCACCTCTCACACCTTGCTGCAGATCTCTGCCCTGGATGGAATGTACCTCCTTCCCAGAAACACAGGCGTGCGCGCACACACACAAACTCTCACTATCTCACCCACACCGTCCCTACTCCCTGTCCTCCCCACCCTCGGCAGAACTGTAGGGACTGGTCCGTGCTCTGCCTCAACTTTCCCGGCTGCATCTGCCCCACGCGAAATGTGAATCGCCGCGCCCTCTCAGGGCACCCTCCAGGGGAACACGTCTTCCTCCGCGCCTCTTACCTCGTACCAACTCCTGACGGGGACTGGAGCTGACCGTGGTGGCAGCGGTGGTGGCTGAGCCTGTACCCGGGCTCCGGCTCATGGTTGGTCCTCCTCATCCGACACAAAAGAGGTAGCTTGCGGGCTTTGTCCTTTCCAAATCCAAGGGAGAACTTATTTTGCCCCCTAAATGGACAACTTGTGCGCGCCGCTTCCTGTCACAGTGCCCCCTGCCCCCGCCCACTCCTGACTGCGCGCTGGACCACTGCCTAGTGGCAGAGCATCCAGGCCTCCTAGTCAGTTAAGAGTGGGAAAAAAGAAGGGGTGGGTGGAGAAGAGAGGAAGGAGGTTGGGGAAAGGGGGACCCAGTGGTCTTCTGCAAAGGGGAGGGGAGCACTTTCCAGCTCAGTTCATCTCTTTCTCCTCCTCTTTACGTGCAAACCCACTTCAGGGCGCAGAAGCAACTTTATTTCACCTTGGCCAGGCTGAAACCGTCTCATCAAATTGGGACTCATCAGAGGCACGGTTCTCCAGCCATTCTCTCCTCCTCTCTTTCTCCCTCCCTTGCCTTTTCCCGATCCCTTCCCCCGCTACGCTACTCTTCCTCCCTCTTTATATAGGGGGTATATCTGCAGTGAGCATGGGTACCTAGAGAAGAGAGCTAATATACAGAAAGCCAAGGCGGTTTTGCTGACTACTTCACCTCACTATATTTGAAATGCTAGGCAGTGCATCAAAGGTTGATGAATTTCGAAGGGGTGGGGTGAAGGGGCACGGGGCAGCAAGGGAGGGCGGTGGCTCCAACTTTGAAGCTCTGCTGAAGCTTTCGGCCTACGGGAGAGCAGGGGCTAACGCTCAGTCCTTGGACGAACTCTTTAGTGGTCCCGGTGCTACTGGCTGACCGCATGCTGGAAAAGAAAGAACAGAAGTGGAGAGGAAGGAAGCGAGCGAGGGAGGCCGGTGCGCAGCTCTGCCCCACACGATGCCCAACTGCACAGTGCAAGCCCCAGGGGAGGGCTTGTGCAGAACAATCTCTGGGTCAGGCGGGAGGGAGACGCTCCTGTTTCCTAGCAACCCTCATCAATCTCCTTCGGATAGCTCTTTCTGAAGGAATTCGATTGGACAGCCCCTGGAGAGAAGCCACGCCCCTTCAAAAATGCTGGGCTACTGCTTTTTCGCATTCTTCCAAATTTCTTGGGTGGAATGTGATTAGAAGGGTGTGCTAATTATCTGTCTTCGTATCTTCTTTGCTGCCACACCGCAGTGGCCCCTCCACCCCCGCACCCTCTATTCCTATTTGTGGTTTATCAGGCACAGTCTACGATCTGTATAGAACGTCTTCTTTCTTCTTAAAAATAAATAAATAAAATCCTTAAATCGGTGACGTAGGCACAAAAGACAAAAAGGCACACGGAAACAGCTTTAATAAGCTCGAAGCTACAGATAAAATCCTAAAGGTAAAATCCCAGGGATCTTTCTATGTATAGAAACACGTTGTGTTAAATTTCAAAATTGAAGCTACAGTGTCATTAATTTTCCACCCTGAATACTAACTTTGTGTTAACCAAAGAATGAGTTATACAAAGCCAGAGACAATTAAAGTTAATGTTTTAAATGCTACATTTATTCTTTAATATTTAATGCTGAGTTGTTTAACAATTGCTGCCTTTTGTAACCTCGCCAGAACGTTTAAACTACAGAAACAATTTTACCACTAAGTCTATTAGAGAGCCAAAGATATTTAGAAGACACGTGAACAATATATTTGATTGTGAATTCCACCAAAACCAGTAACTTGAATTATTAAAAATAAAATGTCATTAAATCATGAAACACATTCTTTCTAGAATGCAATAGCAACATATACTGTTCATCACAAACACATTAGACCTTCATAAGAGAGAACCATCACAACGTCTGCAGGGAGAACAAACAATAGACCATTGTACATCAAGGAGAAATGGCAGAAACCACATGCAAGATTAAGATTTACACACTGTGAAGGCTTCAGATATTCATGAAGACAGGTTCTGCAGCTTTTGGCCTCTTTCAGAACACACCAGAAAATATCCTTATGGACTTCCAAGACCTTATCAGAGTCTGCTGGGATTAGGAAAACTAGTAATCTGATATTGCCATCCCACTAAAAGGGAAAAAAGTACCTGTGTTGGAACAAAATAAATTGATGATATATAGGGCGAACTGCATTTTCATAGTCATGCAGACTCTAATACTTTTAAAGTAAAGAGAGTAAAACACTGATGTAAATCATCTATTATAGATCAGATTTTAAGGACTATCTTTACCCACCCCTACCCCAGATCCCCACATGAAGAAATGATGAACATGAAGCCTACTAAACTTGGTGGATTAGTGGGCAATTTGTTATACTAACTATATCTCAGTTTCTTTATCTGTAAAATGAGAATACTAATTGCTTATTCCTCAGAGCTATTTGGCAGATTTGTAAGTACCATGCTGTTATTCTGTTGTTAAGTGCTGTTGAGTCGGTTCCAATTTATAGTAACCTTGTATAGGATTTCTGAGGAATGGCTGGTGGGTTTGAACCATTGACCTTTGGGTTCAAGCTGACTTTGCAGTCCAGTGCTTTATTCTACAATGCCACACCAGGACTCAAAGTATCACATGTTGTTGTTGTTGTTGTTGTTATGTGCCATGGAGTTGGTTCTGACTGATAGCCACCCTGCACAGAGTTTCCAAGGCTATAAATCTTTACAGGAGCAGAACACCTTATCTTTCTCCCCCAGAACAGCTGGTAGTTTCGAACTGCTGACCTTGTGGTTCGCAGCCCGATTCGTAACAACTATGCTACCAGAGATGTTGTTAGGTGCCATTGAGTCGGCACCGACTCATAGCAACCTTGTGCACAGCAGAACGAAACAATGTCTGATCCTGGGCCAACCTCACTACTGTTGCCACACTTGAGTCTGTCGATGCTGCCACCTGGCCAATCCATCTCGTTGGGGGTCTCCCATATAAATAATGGTGCTATTGTTAGTTTCTATAGCGTGGCACTATAATATAAACCCTGAATTGCTAATTGAAATGTTGGTGGTTCAAATGCACCAGCCATGTCTCTAAAACTTTATACAAGGTCACTGTGAGTCTGAACCAACTCAAGAGCACTTAACAACAAACAACAGCACAGTTAACTATAGTGTTTTCTTTGTTGAGGCATATATATATATATATAATTGAAGTCAGTCTTGTACTTTAGTTCTTTAACCATCAATTGGTAACCATTTTAAATTCAGCATCCATTGGCAACATAGCTTCAGCTTTGTTGTTTGTGGATGTTTGTGGATGTTTATGTTTTCAAGTTACCTTTAAAAGCCTCAAGGAGTAGGGCTAAATAACAACCTCTGTCTAGACAGCATGCCAAATAAGAAATCACATCACCCTTTCTACCATCTGCTTCCTAAGTATTCTAAGTGGGCTCTATTTCTAAACAATTGTAGTCCTTCTTTTATGCACTTCTGGTGTGGCATGTTTATCAAATCTTTTTAAAGTTAAATGTGAGTTTGGATGTCTAGACCACTTTTAACTAGTTATTATTATTATTATTAGTTTAAATTCTAATAATCCATGATTAACCATGATATTATACCTTCTTAGGGACCTTTATAGTTAACTTCCATAGTTTCTGGAATAATGTTTTTTAAATGTGCCCACCAAGTGCATCATCCAGAAGTATCATTAAGAGTTGATACATTATCACCACTCATTATAAAATGCCTTCTATGTCCTGTTTCTTACCCAGAGTTTGCTCTTACTAGCATGCCTTTCAGAGAAAACCTTCACTGGTTTTATCAAGAAATCAGTTATTTTGTGGTTTCTACAATATGGATTACATCTCAACATAAAGAAAACAGAATTCTCACAAGTGGGCCAATAAGCACCATCACAATAAACAGAGAAACGTTGAAACTGTCAAGGATTTTGTTTTACTTGGATCCACAATCAATGATTGTGGAAGCAGTAGTCAAGGAATAAACAATATATTGCATTGGAAAAATCTGCTGCAAAATACCACTTTGAAGTATTAAAAAGCAAATAAATCACTTTGAGGACTAAGGTGCTCCTGACCCATTCCATGGTATTTTTACTTCATATGGTGTGTGCTGTGGGTTAATGCTCCAAACTGCAAAGCCATTTTGAACTTCAGAAGGGTTGGTGGTTCAAGCTCACAAGTTGCTTCTCGGAAACCCCATAAAGGGTCGCTATGGGTTGGAATCGACTCAACAGTACTTAACAACAACAATTTACATGAAAGCTGGACAATGAGTAAAGGAGGCCAAAGAATAAAGTGCTGGAAAAAATATTAAATATTCTGTGGACTGCTGGAATAACAAACAAATCTGACTTGGAAAAAGGACAGTCAGAATACTCGTTAGAAGTGAGGGTAGCGAGAATTTATCATATGTACTTTGGACATGTTACCAGTCGGAACTGGTTCCTGAAGAAGGACATTGTGCTTAGTGAAGTAGAAGGTCATTGAAAAAGAGGAAGACCCTCAGTGGGATGGATTGACACAGTGGCTGAAACAATGGCTTACACACAGTTTGGACTGTGAGGAAGGCAGCACCAGGCAGTGTTTTGTTCAGTGTTTTGTTATACGATCTCTATAAGTCAGAACTGACTCTGTATCACCTAACAATAACAACTATCAGTCCTAGTAGCAGTGTGGATTGAGAATTGGACTGCTGACCAACAGGTCAGTGGTTCAAACCAATTGGTCTCTCTGTGGGAGAAAGATGCAATAATCTGCTTCTGAAAAGATTTACAGCCTAGACAAGCTTATGGATCAGTTCTAGCCTACACTATGGGGTTGCTGGGTCAGAATCAACAATATGGCAGTGGGTTTGGTTTAGTTACATCCGTCAGCTGTGCAGTTATGATCATATGTAGAGTGATCAGGTGTCCAGTTTGTCATTGACAGTACTGATTTGTATCTACAGTCTTGAGTATATGCATAGTGCTCAATTTATTTCTCAAAAGTGTTAGATTTGGACAATGCACTATATAGCTACCTGAGCCCTCATTACCAAACACGAGGTTCATCTCTAGAGACTAGTCCCTCCTGATAACATGTCTGAAATATGACAAGCAAAGTCTCATCGTCCTGGCTTCTATTGAACATTGTGGTTGTATTTCTTCCAACACAGGTTTGTTTGTTCTTCTGTCAGCCCATGGTACTTTTAATACTGTTTACCAACACCATAACTTAAATGTAGCAATTCTTTTACAGTATGGAAGAGCACATCTTTGTAATCCATTAGCTGGAAGAGGACACCTTTTTTCTTATTCACATAGAGAAGGTG